ATTGAATCTAATGATTGATCGAGTCAAATGATCGAATGATCGAGTCAATTGATCGAATGATCCAGTCAAATGATCGAATGATCGAATTGACGAATGATCGAATGATCGAATTATCGAATGATCGAATGATCGAATGATCGAATGATCGAATGATCGAATGATCGAATGATCGAATGATCGAATGATCGAATGATCGAATGATCGAATGATCGAATGATCGAATGATCGAATGATCGAATGATCGAATGATCGAATGATCGAATGATCGAATGATCGAATGATCGAATGATCGAATGATCGAATGATCGAATGATCGAATGATCGAATGATCGAATGATCGAATGATCGAATGATCGAATGATCGAATGATCGAATGATCGAATGATCGAATGATCGAATGATCGAATGATCGAATGATCGAATGATCGAATGATCGAATGATCGAATGATCGAATGATCGAATGATCGAATGATCGAATGATCGAATGATCGAATGATCGAATGATCGAATGATCGAATGATCGAATGATCGAATGATCGAATGATCGAATGATCGAATGATCGAATGATCGAATGATCGAATGATCGAATGATCGAATGATCGAATGAATGAGAATGATCGATGATCGAATGATCGAATGATCGAATGATCGAATGATCGAATGATCGAATGATCGAATGATCGAATGATCGAATGATCGAATGATCGAATGATCGAATGATCGAATGATCGAATGATCGAATGATCGAATGATCGAATGATCGAATGATCGAATGATCGAATGATCGATGATCGAAATGATCGAATGATCGAATGATCGAATGATCGAATGATCGAATGATCGAATGATCGAATGATCGAATGATCGAATGATCGAATGATCGAATGATCGAATGATCGAATGATCGAATGATCGATTGATCGAATGATCGAATGATCGAATGATCGATTGATCGAATGATCGAATGATCGATCGAATGATCGAATGATCGAATGATCGAATGATCGAATGATCGAATGATCGAATGATCGAATGATCGAATGATCGAATGATCGAATGATCGAATGATCGAATGATCGAATGATCGAATGATCGAATGATCGAATGATCGAATGATCGAATGATCGATTGATCGATTGATCGATTGATCGAATGATCGAATGATCGAATGATCGAATGATCGAATGATCGAATGATCGAATGATCGAATGATCGAATGATCGAATGATCGAATGATCGAATGATCGAATGATCGAATGATCGAATGATCGAATGATCGAATGATCGAATGATCGAATGATCGAATGATCGAATGATCGAATGATCGAATGATCGAATGATCGAATGATCGAATGATCGAATGATCGAATGATCGAATGATCGAATGATCGAATGATCGAATGATCGAATGATCGAATGATCGAATGATCGAATGATCGAATGATCGAATGATCGAATGATCGAATGATCGAATGATCGAATGATCGAATGATCGAATGATCGAATGATCGAATGATCGAATGATCGAATGATCGAATGATCGAATGATCGAATGATCGAATGATCGAATGATCGAATGATCGAATGATCGAATGATCGAATGATCGAATGATCGAATGATCGAATGATCGAATGATCGAATGATCGAATGATCGAATGATCGAATGATCGAATGATCGAATGATCGAATGATCGAATGATCGAATGATCGAATGATCGAATGATCGAATGATCGAATGATCGAATGATCGAATGATCGAATGATCGAATGATCGAATGATCGAATGATCGAATGATCGAATGATCGAATGATCGAATGATCGAATGATCGAATGATCGAATGATCGAATGATCGAATGATCGAATGATCGAATGATCGAATGATCGAATGATCGAATGATCGAATGATCGAATGATCGAATGATCGAATGATCGAATGATCGAATGATCGAATGATCGAATGATCGAATGATCGAATGATCGAATGATCGAATGATCGAATGATCGAATGATCGAATGATCGAATGATCGAATGATCGAATGATCGAATGATCGAATGATCGAATGATCGAATGATCGAATGATCGAATGATCGAATGATCGAATGATCGAATGATCGAATGATCGAATGATCGAATGATCGAATGATCGAATGATCGAATGATCGAATGATCGAATGATCGAATGATCGAATGATCGAATGATCGAATGATCGAATGATCGAATGATCGAATGATCGAATGATCGAATGATCGAATGATCGAATGATCGAATGATCGAATGATCGAATGATCGAATGATCGAATGATCGAATGATCGAATGATCGAATGATCGAATGATCGAATGATCGAATGATCGAATGATCGAATGATCGAATGATCGAATGATCGAATGATCGAATGATCGAATGATCGAATGATCGAATGATCGAATGATCGAATGATCGAATGATCGAATGATCGAATGATCGAATGATCGAATGATCGAATGATCGAATGATCGAATGATCGAATGATCGAATGATCGAATGATCGAATGATCGAATGATCGAATGATCGAATGATCGAATGATCGAATGATCGAATGATCGAATGATCGAATGATCGAATGATCGAATGATCGAATGATCGAATGATCGAATGATCGAATGATCGAATGATCGAATGATCGAATGATCGAATGATCGAATGATCGAATGATCGAATGATCGAATGATCGAATGATCGAATGATCGAATGATCGAATGATCGAATGATCGAATGATCGAATGATCGAATGATCGAATGATCGAATGATCGAATGATCGAATGATCGAATGATCGAATGATCGAATGATCGAATGATCGAATGATCGAATGATCGAATGATCGAATGATCGAATGATCGAATGATCGAATGATCGAATGATCGAATGATCGAATGATCGAATGATCGAGTGATCGAATGATCGAATGATCGAATGATCGAGTGATCGAGTGATCGAATGATCGAATGATCGAATGATCGAATGATCGAATGATCGAATGATCGAATGATCGAATGATCGAATGATCGAATGATCGAATGATCGAATGATCGAATGATCGAATGATCGAATGATCGAATGATCGAATGATCGAATGATCGAATGATCGAATGATCGAATGATCGAATGATCGAATGATCGAATGATCGAATGATCGAATGATCGAATGATCGAATGATCGAATGATCGAATGATCGAATGATCGAATGATCGAATGATCGAATGATCGAATGATCAAATGATGATGTGAGTTCACTCTTGTGTTGTTATTGTGTTGTTGAAATTCGATAAAACTATTCTCGAGTCTTGGATCCAGTTCGCTTGCGTCAGTGTCGAGTCGATCGCTTAAAAACCGCTCTCAACTAAATTTCTGAGAAAATATTCTAAGGAACTTCTCCTTTCTGAGGATATGATCTATAGGAACCGTTGTATTCGATGATTGTATATGTTATTTGAAATTTGAATGAGTTGAGTATAACATAATTTTATAGCAGTATATGATCATATTCGATACTTGATTGAATTTGTTTCGGACGTATCGCATTTCACTTATCATATAGCTTATTTTATTTTTTTATCCATTGGTGTGCACAGAATGGAATTCCTATAATGTCCGAAGAACGTCGTGCGTACCTGAATACCTTATCTCATTTCTCAAAAAATTCGGCAATTGTTATCTTTGTTTTTGTGCTGGTCACTTGGTGAATTGGTAGCCAAACTGCGAAAGAGAACGTGAAAAAGTCTCAGGAAAACTCTCATCGGCAAAAAATTCCAGAGCTTCATCGTTTTACGGAAAATCGAGTTTTGGTGGAGTATTGTTCGACAAATTCCAAGGTTATCGATGACAGATTGTGCAGACTGTTAGTTTGGACTCGTCAGTTCTAGTTTATTTTTACTGACCGAATTTTGTAGGAAATGATGATTTTCGGAATTGCTTTTCAAGAAACGCTCCTTCTCGGCAGCCATGATGATGAGCACTTGAGACTAGTTTTAGCAACCTTTTCATTCTTGGTATATCCGTAGAGGGATATGTGTTATCAAAAAATAATTCAAGCCGGCTCCCTTCAGCTTCTGATGTTCAAACTGAGAATAATCCAATCTTCTTCTTCTTCCTCAGAAGGTGAGTCATGCACAGTGCAATGACGATGATCTGGTGGTACCTGGCAATTCGCAGAGGCAAGGCAAGAGTATTCCAAAGTAGTTTCTGCTGGACCTTGTAGCAAAGATTCGTCGTCACGGTCAAAACTGACGACTCCATCCTTTTCTCCATCAAGAACGTCAGCTAGCAGCCCAATATTTATTTTGCTGAAGATATTCCTTGGATAAGATCAACACCTTCAATGGAAAAACACCTTACAGCTCCCGACAGTCGCAATCTTTAATGCTCTCGGAACCGTCGATCTCAATGGACTCAAGAACATCGGCAATACTTGTTTCATGGAACAATACTTGTTGTTTTATGTCTGTCTTTCCAATACAAGATATCTGTTGAATTATATGAAGAAGAACGCGTATGTGGAAGACATAAACACCAGACTTTTCAGCATGAGGAGGGCTTTGATTGAAGCATTTGGCGCCCTAATTGAAGAACTTTGGTCCGATGGTTCTGCAGACGAGGTCGTCAACATCGCCCCATTGAACAACCGAATACAACGGTTCCAGTCACGTTCCATGGGTCACGACCAGCAGGATGCGCGAGGATTCCTACGTTACTTGCTGATTGATTTGCATGAAGATGTGAACAGGGTGTTGGTGAAGCACATTTTGACAGAGATTATTGATGATATGAGCGATGACGAGGAAGCAGGAGGATCATGGAATAGATATTTGTGAATGAACAACTCAAAAATAATAGACAATTTCGTCGGTCAGTTGAAATCGTCCGTGAAATGTTCTTTCTGTGGTTACTTCTTGGTCGTCCTTCGATTGCTTCTGGGATTTGTCGCTGCCTTCACCGCAAGGAAATGTTCATATGCAGCTATCACACTGTATGGAATGTTTCACATGTGAAGAATTTCTAGACGAAGACGATATGCCGATTTGTTCCAAGTGTAAGGAGCGCAGGAAATGTACAGAAACTTTGTCTTTCCACAAATTTCCAAAGGTGTTGGTTATTCATTTGAAACGTTTCATGTCCTCTGTATGTTCTTCAGACGAAGTCAACGTCATTATAGACATTCTGCTCGAGGGTTTGGATTTGAGCAGCTACAGTCCTTACGCGCTGTCCAACCACAAAAGCACCATGTAGAGTGGATATTTCACCGCTTACTGCAAGCATCTATACTGCGGCAAATGGCATGAATATAATGAATCTCGTTTTCCTCCAATATTATCAAAATCTCTTGTGAATGGTGATGCATATATGATGTTTTACGTGCAAGAAGACCAACAATCCTACGTTTGAATTTTCAGACAAATATTTTGATAATTACATCTTTTCATGTATATGATTTCACGAATTAGAGCTGAACTCACATTGGCAAATATAATCATGAAAGAATTTGAAATTTCGAGTTGTTTCGTCTCAAAGTAAATGAGTTCAATCTGATTTTGATTGTGATAATCAACTTGAAAATATTGATTTTCCCTTTGAAACTGTACATCCTGAACTTGATAATGAGTATACTCAATTTGAAAGTATTTACTCCCATTTTGAATTTGTCGAACAATTCGATGGGTTCAATTTTGATTTCGAAATGATAACTCTCATCATTCCAAATTCTTTTGGATTTCCTCTCCCCTTTCTATGAAATAAAAATATGGATATTGTTTCAATATACGTGTAGTAAGGACAAATCAGATGATTCACCCCAAAATGTCACTATGCATTTGAAGAATTTTCCTATCAGACAGCCTAAGAGGAAAATTCACTAGCTTGTCAGTGAAAATTTGTATTGGAAAAAGTTTGAAGAAGAGGAATAAAAGTTTATAAAACGGAGATAGTAGCATTGCTACTTGTTCAGTTAATATAGACAGAACAGGGTATTCACGACTAAATATCTGAACATGAAAATGGTGAATTCAAGATCTATTGATGATGACATCCTGTAACTCATTTCATTGTCAACGTCACCAAATGTCAATGACAACTGAAAAACTTCAAGACAGATACGACTTCGCTAATAAGATAATCTTTTCTTATGTTGAAAACGGGATCAGATTCGGTCTTGAAACGTCCGAAGATAAGTGAAAATTTGATATGGTTTCTATATACCTTTATTTCTCTTTACCAAACTGTTTTCAATACAAATTGTCAGTAACAAGCTAGTGAATTCTTCTTTTGGGCTCTCTGATAGGAGAATCCTTCAAACTCAGTGACATTTTGAGGCAAATCATCTGATTTGTCCTTACTGCAAGTATATTGAAATAATATCCATATTTTAATTTTATAGAAACGACGAGAGAAAAATTTAAAAAAAAAGAATACTGAATGTACCACCTCCTCGATCAACCCACAGACAGTATGATATTTCTCAAATTGAATTCGAAGAGATATAGTGCCAAAACTGCTATACTCTTGACACCAGTGTCATGAAATGGTATTCATTCACGACTGTTGTATAAAATGCTTATAAATCATGTACTCCCTCAAGCCAAACGGTTGCAATTTTCACACCAGTGAAATATAGCAGTGAATAATCATAATTCACTGGTCTAGAGTATTCAGGGTACGCGATATAACATATAAAAGAACCTCAGAAGAATATAATGGTTATTCACCGCTATTATTCACTGTTGTAAGGAATTGTTACCGTTTTGCTTGAGGACATACAACAGACGTGGACAAATGTTCAATATAACAGGTCAATTTTCAGTTTTCTCAATGTCAAATGAGTTGTGATAAAACAGTTCTTGAAAATGATTTTATATATCTAAGACAATAGAAGTCGTTGACATAGTAGTATTATACTCGTATATAATGAGCTATTTCACTCAGGTTGTTTATGCTACTCGGTACACTCGTGACATAAGCTTAACCGCCGTGAATGATGAACCTCATTATATGCTTGTTGAAAAATATACTATTTAGACACTGACAGCATGCGTGAAAACTCATACTTCTACTGAAGATTCTGCAAAAATATCATTGTGGAAATACTTTGACATCGAATTATTGTTACTGTGGCATACTATCATGAGAATATTCTGACACGAGGAAAATACAAAAAATGTTTTCTTTGTAGAATCTGAATTATAAAAATAAAGTGTGGATTGGAGATAGTCTTCTTTTCAATTTCTGGAAGTGCACGAGATGAAGTTCCTATGATGTCCGTAAAACATCGTGTGTACCTTGGAATGCTCAGAAGATGAAGTAGATATTGGAATTTTCAATGAACTATTGGGACTTTATTGGTTATTGTTGGTAATACTTCTATTGGCAAAGATCCGAAGACGGACGAGTTCTGGTAAAGTGAATTTCAGGGCCAACGACGGGAAGATGTACTGGCTAGGCCTGTCAAGTTCGTCTGACTGTTATTGCTTGTGATGAAATTATCGCAGAGATTCCAGAGGAACATTCCCGGTTGAAGTATCAATTGAGAATTGATAGGTCGTCGAATTTTCAATAGTGTTCTATAGGGTCACATGATCAGTGAGTGCGGCATCACCCACCAGGCGAATGCATCTTCTCTGAATAGAATCTGAGAGTATCAGCGTATGTTTGGTTGCTGAACTCCATACATGAGAAAGGTATCCTGAAACTGGCAGTACCTGTCCTTCGTAGTTCATGAGAAGATGTTTAGGTGTATTTTTTCGCACAAAACAAGACTCCAAGTTTCTGTGAAACAGCTCCTGTGAGGGATCGAACATGATTTCCACATGAGAGAGATGATTAATAGTAATACCGAGCATTTATATACTGGTCTTGATGAAAATAGTGGTACTGTTTATTGTTATATCAGGCATACTGAACGAAAGCAGACCTAGGAACGCACGATGTTCTTTGAACATTATAGGGATTCCCTTTCGTGCGCTCCGAGCGATGAAAAAAAAAGTTTCTAATGATATTAGTGGAAGTTCAGAAAAAACGTTTCAGAATATACTTGAGTTAGACTCCGGGATCGATAATTTGTAGGATGTTCATACGCTCTTCATGAGTGTTTGGACGAGAAAAAAATATTTTTATTGGTCTTCAATTCCAGCAAGCTTTTTTCGTCGAGAATCTAACCTCAACATTGAAAATAATCAACTCGAATCTAAAAATATCACAGTTATATTGCGACTGTTATCAATTTGATCATCGAAGAAATCATGGATCGCAGAACTTCATCAAGAATTTCAGTTATAATTTCTCGATAGTGATTTTGTATAAACTCGGATAGATGCTTCAGATCGGTTCATTTTCATGATATTCGAATATGCTTCATGTGTTCTCAGAATAAGCAGAGTTGATCACCTTGATTTACGCTTGAACCAAGTTTTCTCTTCTGAGGAAGAATCCCGACATTCGAAATAAATAACTCGAATCTCGACAATAAACATTCATTTCTGTTTCGTGGTTGAAATTGATTCTATAGGTTATTCAAACATTCGTTTCATATGGGTACCTGTACTTTTAGCAATATAAATTCCATCAATCTTCGCTCCAACCAAGTTTTCTGTCTTGAATACCAAATCTTCACATTTGAATTGTCGCGAAAAATCCCTCTAAAGGTTCTGACACAACTCCAAATCAAAAGAAAGCACAAATGCTCCGTGTCGAGCCAACGATGTCTGCTGATCTGATAATACGAAGCCATCGACGACAAGATCGTTCAAGTCGATAAAGCAGGTATCTGCATCGTGGAATCAAATCATTCGCTCGGCAGACATCAACTTGTATAAAATTGTATATCAAAGGCGTCTCCGAGGAACACGTCATTAGGTTAATGAGTTTACTACGGGGAATCCTTTCTGTGAAAGTTCGTGACTGGTGGCGTAACGTTAAGGATGGGGAAAGTATCATTAGACGTCGAAGATGAATACAGGGTGTCGTAAACGTCACCATTAAAATTCCTCACTGGGAGTTTAGTATCATAAGAATGCTATGAACTCAGTTATCAGGAACCATAATGCGATCTTTCGGTCTGACTAATTCGAGAATAGTTTTTTCCCTTTGTGAATGTGAAATGAAACAAAAAGTTGAGTGACGGTGGAATCAAATAATGGATGTGACAGCAGAATATAATAAGTCTTGTATATTGAGGTGAATAGTTTTTCAGAGCTCCCAGCTCTTCTTTCAATATGGAATTACTGAAAATTGGACAATATTCATGTAGATCACACGAACATTTTCCAAATGATGTGGTGCATGTGATATGGTCCAATTCCATCAATTGGTTCTATTACATCACTTCTTCAGCACATTCACGTCTTGTATGGCGGTTGAAACGAAGTCATCATTTTTCTTTGAGTTTCTTCAGTACAGTTGTCACGGCTCTGTTTTCACTAGCACAAAAAACATTCAGTTTCACAAATTCATTGAAGGTATCTCAATACATCATCATACTATCATCAGCTTGCTGAATATATTCTGATATTTCTGATTACTCAAATACCTCATTCACGAAATGTAACAACAGTGAGCTAGATTTCTTTTAAGTTCTTTCAACTAAGCAAATTTCTCATATCTTAGATAGTTCAATAGTGATACATAAAGAAATAAATAGAGCCTTACGTTAACAACAATATATTGAAATCAACCAATAACGAAAATAGGAAGTGACAATATCCATATGTGAAAACATCTTAGGAAGACGTCCTTACAGCCAATGGAAACCTGAAAACAATGTTATGTCAAGAAACATCTCACCAGACCGCAGTATGAAGATTCAACATAGAAGGTGAAGTGAATGCTTACACACTTACATCTCAAATGTACAAAGTGTATCTCTATATGAGAATTGAATTCTTGTTGAAAATTTTAAGGTTATGTATTTCCAATGTCAAATGACCCTGATTCTTTTTTTCCGAAGTTTGCCTATGGAACATGCAATTCCTTCTGAATTCTCTGTCTTGAATCCCAAACGATCCTTATATGATTATTATCTAGCAACAATCCAAGGTCATCACGTCAAGTAATTGACAGATTTCGCGATGGTATATTTTTTGGCCTACTGATGGCTGCATGATGGCTGTCATCATGACGTCACTTACTGCTCAAAACTATGGATTTATTTAATTTCATAATTTCCATGCCAACAAATTCATCATTCTGAAAATGTTTTGAACTTCTGGGAATTATAAGTTCTTGGGAAGACTTGCTTTGGA